TCCAGGTCTTTGAACATTTTGTTATAATATTTGTGTCTTCTTGAGCTGACGTCTGAAATTTTCTGTTCAGGTCTTGTACTTCCTCAATTTTTCCATTTGCTTTTGCATCTCTACGCTGGAGAGCAAGTTTCAGAGTCTCTTCTGACATCCATTTTGATCTTTTCCTTCTTTCTTGTCTTCTTAATGACCTTTTGCTTTCTTCCTGTTTGAAATTCTTGATGTTATCCCACAACTATTCTGGCCTTCAGTCTTTAGTGTCTAATGTATCAAGTCTGTTCTTCAGATGATATCTAAATTCAGGTGGAATATATTCAAGGTCATATTTCAGTTTTCTTCAGCTTCAGCCTGAACTTGCCTATGAACAATTGGGGATCTGTTCCACAGTCTGCCCCTGGCCTTGTTTTGGCTTTTTTACCATCTCTTTTGGCAGATGTAGTCAATTTGATTTCTGTTATTCTGTCTGGTGAGGTCCATGTGCATGGTCATCCTTTATGTTGTTTAAAACAGGTCTTTGCAGTGAAGAAGTCACTGGTCTTGCAAAATTCTATCATGTGATCTCCAGCATTGTTTCTATCACCAAGGGCATATTTTCTGTTGACTGATCTTTCCTTTTTGTTTCCAACCTTTGCATTCCAATTGTCAGTAATTATCAATACATCTTGACTGCATGTTTGATCAATTTCAGACTGAAAAGGTTTGTAGAATTCTTCAGTTTCATCATCACTGGCTTTAGCGGTTAGTGCACAAATTTGAATAGCAGTGGTATTAAGTGGTCTTCCTTATGTTGTTGTTGTTAAGTGCTGTGGAGTTGGTTCCGACTCATAGTGGCCTTACACAGAGTTTCCGAAGCTGTAAATCTTTATGGGAGCAGAAAGCCTCATCTTTTTCCCATGGAATAGCTGGTAGTTTCAAACTGCCGACCTTGAGATTTGCAGCCCGATTCGTAACCACTACGCTACCAGAGCTCCTTGGTCTTCCTTATAGGTGTATAGGTATTATCCTACTATAGACAGTGTTGTAATTCAAGACTGATCTTGATATGTTCTTTTTGATGATGAATACAACGCCATTCCTCTTCAATTTGTCATTCCTGGCATAGGAAACCATGTGATTATCTGATTCAAAATGGCCAATACCAGTCCATTTCAGCTCACTAATGCCTAGCATATCGATGTTTGTGTGTTCCATTCCATTTTTGACAATTTAAAATTTTCCTATATTCATACTTCATACATTCCACATTCTGATTATTAATGGATGTTTACAGTTGTTTCTCTTCATTTTGAGCTGCGCCCCATCAGCAAATGAAGTACCGAAGGCTTTACTCCATTTACATCATCACAGTCAACTCTACTTTGAGGAGGGAGCTCTACCTCAGTCGTAGTCTAAGTGCCTTCCAACCTGTGGGGCTCCTCTTCCGGCACCGTGTCTGACAATATTCTGGTGCTCGTCATCGTGTTTCAATATTTAATATTCTGCTGCTGACCATGCCCCACTGCTATTCATGACATTTTCATCGACTACATATTTGGCAGTGGTCTGTCTCTTTTCCCTAGTCTCTGTGTGGAAGCTCAGCTGAAATGTGTTCACCGTAGGTGCCTCTGCTGGTATTTAAAACACCCATGGTATAGCTTTCAGTATCAGAACAACACACAAACCACCACAGTATGGCAAACTGACTGATGAGAGGTGGTCTGAAGCATATGCTCTACCAAAATGTAATATTAAACCAAGAAAGAGGAAAACAGGGAGAGACAGGAGCCAAGGAACCGCTCAAACTAGCACAGGAGAAAACCAAACCAAACCAGCTCCAACAATCTCACCGCTATTGAGTTGATTCCAGCTCACAGCATCCCTACTTAGGGTCTTTACTGGAGAAGACAGCCTTGTTTTTCTTCCGCAAAGCAGCTGGTGGGTTTGAATCACTGACTCTGCAGTTAACAGCCTAATGTTTACCCCACAGAGTCACCAGCACTCCTTAACACAGGAAAGAAGTGAAGACCATTGTCAGGATGCTGAATGTTCTCTCACAGTCCAGGAGGCTAGAAATACGAACTGTAAACTGTGTGGGAGAACCAGCTTACAACCAAGCCAGCCCGGGACAGGAAGAGAAGTCTCCAGGAAAAGAATGGAACAGAGAATAGGACTGTTTTGAGGGGAATTTTAGAGTTGTGTCATTAAGTCTGTAGCTGGGTTAGAGATTGGATAGTTACAACACATATAACAAAGAAAAGTCCAGGATTCAGCACATATCAGGAACTTCCACAAATTGGTAAGAAACCGTTAAATAATTCAACAGGAAGTCAAATGGTCACTAAATGCTCAAGATCATCCTCATCAGTAATGAAGGAATTCTAAATGAATTGAAAATGACAGTGAGAGGCCACTGCCCAGCTGACAGAACTAAGCGGTTATGAGGCTATGAAGCATTGGAGTTCTCATAACCACCGGTCAGAGTATAAAATGGTACCACTCTGTGGGAAAGCAGTCTAATAGGATACATATCACCAAGCAAGTCTACTCTCAGATGTACACCCTAAAGGAAAGCAAGTACGTGCTCAAGAGATTACATGATTAAGAATGTTCACAGAATCATTGCATATAGTGCTCTGTGATGGTTGAGGTTTCATGTCAACTTAACTCGGCCAGGATTCTCAGTGAGTTTGCAGTTAAGATGTAGTAAACCCCCACGAAGAGAGAGCTGATGTGAGCAGCCAGTAAACTAAAAGGAAGTTTCCTCGGGAGTGTGGCCCGCAACACCTTTTGTCTTACATGAGATAAATGGAGAAAGAAGGTTGCAGACAGGGACCTACTGCCACCAAGAAAGAAGAACGGGAGTGGAGTGTGTCTTTGAACCTGGGATCCCCCCACTGTGAAGGTCCTAGATCCAGGGGAAGATTGATGCCAAGACACTCGGCGATCTCCAAGGAGTGCTGAGCTTGCAGAGGCTGAAAGGAGACCAGGCCCTTTCCCCAGAGTCTATGCTCTGAACTCGGACCTGTAGCTTCCTAAACAATGAGAACAATTTTTGTTTGTTAAAGCCTCCACTGTGGTAAATCTGTTACAGCAGCATTACCTAACTAAGACATAGTCCAAAATGCTAACAATTCCAAAGAACACTTTGGAAAAAGGATAACTAAGATATGGCATATACATATACTGGTATAGTTAGTATTTATCTTAAGAACAAACAAATATAACTGCTTTACATGAATGAATCTTACCCACAGAACTAACTATAAGTGAAAGAAGCAAGACATGGACTACTGACCAACAACATTCCTGCTGTTTCTCTGGTACACTGACCATTTCCACCCATCCCCATTCTCCTATACACTCCATTCCACTCTCATCTTTCACAGAGAAACAGACCAAAGTCTTGCCCTAATGAAGTGTACTTAGAGCTGAAATTAAATATTTATACAGTAAAACCTGCTAGAGCTTGAACCCATGAAAGACAGAAACCTGTCAGAGAAGGAAAATGTCACGATTTTCCACTAAAATGAGTGACAGAAAAGCGGTAAGAGTGCCCCCTGTTAACGACGGAAAATGTACAGAGACCCACAAAAAGAAGTCAGGCCTGTCAGGTCCCAGCACTCGCAGGTTTCACTGTGTTTGTGTAGTAATTTAATTACAGAATGTCTCCCTAAATGTCTGAATTCACATAAGGAAAAGGATAGCAGCTCATCTTGTGCCTAGCTAACCGCATCACTCATTCAATAAAGATTTATGAAACCCAACTGGGCTAAAAAACACCAGTAAACATGGAGGCGGGGGCTTCAAAAAGCTCACGGAGAAAAGTAGAATGAAAAGATAATGGAATTTTTTCATGAACTTTATGAAGCCCCCTCATACAGCAATAGCAGATTCAGCCTTGTGAAAATGTTCAACCACATTCGCAATTAAAGAAACGGAAGTCCAAGTAAAACTGAAATGTGTTTTTTGCTAGAAAGAAGCAAGGACTGAGAGAACAAGAATGCTCAAAGCTGTGAGCGTTGCCGTCAGTCAACTAGGTCCTCTCACAGATCATGTGTGGACAAGGGGCTTCCACTTCCCCAAGACCTTCTGGAAACCCACTTGTCCAGATGCACATGTGGTACAGTGTTGATGGAAAGCAATTGGGCCCCACTGTGCTGAGGCTTGAAAAGCTCGATACCCTGGTGACGTAGGAAAGTTCTAGTTCTAAGACTCTGTACTAAAAAAAAAAAAAAAAAAATCAAGAGTCAAGGTGTCCTTATAAACTGCCCACTAATTAGGAATTAAAGGAGCTCTGGTAGTGTAGTGGTTACAAATCGGGCTGTTAACCTCAGGGTCAGCAGTTTGAAACTACCAGCTGTTCCATGGGAGAAAGAAGAGGCTTTCTGCTCCCGTAAAGATTTATAGCTTCGGAAACCCTGTACAGGGACGTTATGAGTTGGAACCAACTTCACGGCACATAACAGCAACAACAACAGCAATTAGGAATTAATATTAAATATTGGAAAAAAGAAAAAAAATGAGCAAAAACAGTATAATGGCCAAATTGACTTTAAGATAGTCACAAGTTATACATACACTAAAATGTAAGAATTTCAATAAGTTGACAATACCACAGAAAAATAAAGATGGTCTAAACAGGAGTCCTGGTGTTGTGCTGCAGGATAAGTATTGGACCTCAAGTCAGTTTGAACAGCAAGGTTGGTGGTTCAAACACACCAACTGTCTCTTGGAAACCCTATACAGAGTCGTTGTGAGTCAGAACGGACTCTATGGCACTTAGTATCAGTAACAAACAACATTAAGTAAAAACGACAGATAGTGATCTCAATCCTATGAAGCATGTTTGTATACAGCACCCACTGAATGCAGCGATTTTAAACGGCAGCACTGACTGCCAGTTAGTTAATGCTGAAAGAAGGGGACTTCCATCACTGCAGTTCTTACTAAGGTTTGTTAAATTCAACTTTCTCTGCTTTAATGCTTAAAGAAGAATCCTAACAATTAGCTCTATGTATACTTACCAGATCAATATTTTGCATTATGTCCTGAAATGAAGGGTGAGTTCGAAACTGTTCAAAGAGATCTCGTTTGTAAAGCAATGCATACACCAAGTTTGGGTTGTGGTGAAGAGAATTTGTCAGGCAGGAATTGATGATCTCTAACATCATTCGAATCACTTCTTCGATGACATTTAGGTCTTGTGCCTTTTAAAGAAAGCAAACCCCACAAAGAGTCAGTGTTTTTTTCCTTGAAATACAATGAACAGAATGAGAGTAAGTCTTCTAAAATTTCAAAAACATTAGAAAGAGATCATGCAGATGAGCCAAGTCTCTACATGATTGATTTTTCTATAGAATCTTTTAGACTTAGTACAGCGATCTTCAAACAGTAAATTACAGACTCAGCAACCTAAAGGGAAAGCTGGCTCTTCCTCAGGCCCTAATTTCTGAGGTCCTTGTTTACATTCTCATCACTGTAACTCTCTGCATCAGACTTCCCATGCAAAATGGTGTGATGGTTGCATGGATCCCAAGAACGGTGCCGAATTCAAAATACTCCCTTACTTCTTTAAATTGTCCTTTCAATCACTGGGTTTTTTACAGGTAAGTTGCCTATGATTTTGTCTCTGTTTCCTCAGAACTCAGTCTTTAAAATAGTTGTCAATACAGCAAAACTAAAGCAGGCAATCAAAGAATCTCTTCGAAGAAAGAATGACTGAAAGGGCAAAGTTATGGGCAGGTACAGCAGACTTTCCCCTCTTGAGTTTTCTAAGGTATACATGACAGTTAACTAGAACATTTCCTAATGTGGTTCTCAATACGTAAAGAAAGTAAGATCATTATAAACAGACGAGGGTAAATGCATTTAAAGGAAAGTAAGGGTCTATTCTTCACTTGAATCAGTAAAATGTCAACACTAGCAGACTGTGTTAAGTTATGCATGCAGAATACAACATTCAGAACAACCATTCAACATCCACACAAAGAGATGGACTTAAAAAATACTATAGCTATATCAAAATGGAATTATAAAAAAATTTCAAGTAAATCCAAGTGAAGCAGGGGAAAACCGCCCCCACCCCACAGTAAAAACACAGACAAAAGAAAAACAGGAAATAAACAAAAAAGACAATATTCTCATGCAAAAAACAACAAATCTAGACATAGCTTATATCCTTCATAAAAATTAACTCACAATGACTCATAGACCTAAATGTAGGCTTTACAATTAAATACA